GCCTCGACGCCGGGATCAAGCCTGAGCCCCCAAGGCCGCGGTCGCCAGGGTACCGCGTCCTACAAGCCACGCCCCTCACAATGCTCCGTTCCAGGCTGAGTTCAAGACATCATCAACGGGCGACGCCCCAACGGGCGACGCCCCAACGGGCGACGCCCCAACGGGCGACGCCCCAACGGGCGACGCCCCAACGGGCGACGCCCCAACGGGCGACGCCCCAACGGGCGACGCCCCAACGGGCGACGCCCCAACGGGCGACGCCCCAACGGGCGACGCCCCAACGGGCGACGCCCCAACGGGCGACGCCCCAACGGGCGACGCCCCAACGGGCGACGCCCCAACGGGCGACGCCCCAACGGGCGACGCCCCAACGGGCGTCACACTCGTGCGTGGGCGGGCTGTAGTGGGGGGGAGGGAGGGAAGTAACGACCGCTTTGCCTTTCCAGTTGCGCATGCGCATGGCTTGAGGTTGCGCTCGAGGCTTCAACGCCTCAGAGTTGGAAAAGTGGACAGAATGGTCAAGTGCCTCTCATTTAAACTAAACCAGACTGTAACAAGTTTTGTCAGTGGGTAGCTGGCTGCAATTCCTCTAATTCTTCTTGGCCCCCAAGGAACTGATTTATGTTCAACAGACCTCCACAAGTGTTTTTATTCAGACCACTTACCCTAGGAATACCATCCCCCAGTCTCAGGACATTTGGATTTCTGCAAGGATTCGATGTCTTCCTCCCTTGTCTTCCTCTTTCCTGTCTTGAGCTCATCATTTCCCTTGCTCTCTTCTCCTATTTCTTTCTCTGTATCTCTTTCTTTCTACCTTTACATCCAATCAGCCATCATTTATTGAGTGTCTGCTCTATGCCAGACACTGCTGGGTGCTGAGATACAAATCGGTAAAGCATAGACCTTGCCACCAAGGAGCTCATTAGACTGGAAATACATGAAGGGCCAAGACATCACCTGACTTGTCAGGAGTTTGTACTTTGTCTCCATAATTACATATATATGTATACATGCACACACACACATACACATCCATGACACATTATATAACTGCATGTCTGAAAACTAATGACAAAACAATCTTGAAAACAGCTAGAGATACACGCAACATTACTTACACAGTAAAATCAATTTGAGCATATTGCACTTCTCATCTGAAACCATGGACACCTAAAGGAAGCAGTACATTTTTCAAGCGCTGAAAGAATGAAATGTCAACTGTGAATTCTGTGAGTGGGGTGTATTGTGGGTCACAGATATGTTCTTTGGTTGTCAGTGATGTGTGCAGTGGTCTCACTGAGGTGTGTTGTGGTTGCAGTGGGCTGTACTGTTGATTAAAGTGTGGTGTGCTGTGGCTTAAAGTGGGATGTACAGTGTAACTCAATGAATTTTGCTCTGGGTCCTACTGAGGTTAGGGTGTGAGTGGGGTGTGTTGTGGGTTGTAGAATTGTTCTTTGGGTCTGAGGTATATGTGCAGTGGTCTCACTGAGGTGTGCTGTGAACTCAGTGGGCTGTGCTGTTGTTTAAAGTGTGATGAGTTTAGGCTTTAAGTGATATGTGCAGTGTAACTCAAGGAATTTTCCTGTGGGACCTAGTGAGTTTACGGTGTGATTGGGGTTTGTTTTGGGTCACAGATTAGTTCTTTGGGTCTCAGTGATGTGTGCAGTGGTCTCACCGAGGTGTGCTGTGCGCTCAGTGGGCTGTGCTGTTGTTTCAAGTGTGGTTTGCTGTGGCTTAAAGTGGTGTGTGCAGTGTAACTCAATGAATTTTGCTGTGTGTCCTAGTGAGGTTAGGGTGTGAGTGGGTTTTTTTTTTTGTGGGTTGCAGATATGTTCTTTGGGTCTCAGTGATGTATGCACTGGTCTCATTGAGGTGTGATATGGTTTCAGTGGGCTGTTCTGTTTATTAAAGTTGGGTGTGCTTTGGCTTAAGGTGTGCAGTGTAACTCAATGAATTTTGCTGTGGGTCCTAGTGAGATTAGGGTGTGAGTGGGGTGTGTTGTGGGTCGCAGATTTGTTTTTTTGGTCTCAGTGAAGGGTGAAGTGGACTGACTGAGGTGTGCTGTGAGTCACAGTGGGCTGTGCTCTTGTTTAAAGTGGCCTGTTCTGTGGCTTAAAGTGGCATGTGCAGTGTACCTCAATTAATTTTCCTGTGGGTTTTAGTGAAGTTATGGTATGAGTGGGTGGTTTTGTGGGTTGCAAATTTTTTCTTTGGTTGTCAGTGATGAGTGCAGTGGTCTCATTGAGGTGTGCTGTGGTCACAGAGGTCTGTGCTGTTAATTATAGTGTGGTGTCCTGTGGCTTAAAGTGGGCTGTGCTCTGTAACTCAATGAATATTTCTGTGGGTCATAGTTAGGATAGGGTGTGAGTGGGGTGTGCTTTGGATTGAAGATTCATACTTTGGGTCTCAGTGATGTGTGCAGTTGTCACACTGAGGTGTGTTGTGGGATCAATGGGCTGTTCTGTTGTTTAAAGTGTTGTTTACTGTGGCTTAAAGTGGGGTGTGCAGTGTAACTCAATGAATTTTGCTGTGGGTCCTAGTGAGGTTAGGTTGTGAGTTGGGTGTCCTTTGGGTTGCCAATTTGTTCTTTGGTTGTCAGTGATGTGTGCAGTGGTCTCGCTGAGGTGTGCTGTGGGTCTCAGTGGGCTATGCGGTTGTTTAAAGTGGGGTGTGCTGTGGCTTAAAGTGGGGTGTTCAGTGTTACTCAATGAATTTTGATGTGAGTCCTAGTGAGGTTATGGTGTGAGTGGGGTGTGTTGTTGGTCACAGATTTGTCCTTGGATCTCAGTGATGTGTGTAGTGGTCTCACTGAAGTGTGTTGTGGCCGCAGAGGACTGTGCTGTTGTAAGAAATAGAAACTCTCAGATGAAGGAAAACTTTATTGCTAGCAAGCTTATCCTTAAAGAATTGCTAAAGGGATTTCTCTAAGCAGAAAGGAAATGATAACAGAAGAAGGGTTAGGGCTTCACAAAGGAAAAAATAACATCAGAATAGGTGGAAATAGTAATAAGTATGATAGACTATCCTTCTTTTAATGAGTTTCTTAAATCATATGTGATAGTTAAAACAAAGATTAACAACATTTCATGTGGTTAATGTAAAGGAAATATTTAATAGAAGTATATGTTAAAAGTAGGGAGTATAAAGGGACATATATGGAAGTAAGATTTCTCTACTTCCCTCAAAGTGTTAAAAATATTAATACCAATAGACTGTGGTAGGTTATCATATATGTGCTTTGTAATTCCTAGAGCAACCAATTAGACAGCTATACAAAGTGATATATTCAAGACACAGTAAATAAATCAACACAGACTTCTAAAAGTGTTCAAGTAACATTTGCCTACAGAAAGGCAAGAAAAGAGAAACAGGAAAGCAGCAGAAACAAGTTATAAAATGAAAGACTAAGTATCAGTAAGTACTTTAAATGTAAATAGTCTAAACCAACTAATTAAAAGACAAAGAGGGAGGCTGAAGGTGGTAAAACATGATAACTTTATGAGGCCGACCCACATGGAAATCTTCATGTCTGGTGTGCATGTGTGTGCCCATTTTCTGCATCTAAGGTTATCTAAAGGTGGGGTATATTGTGGCATCAAGACCTTGTTGGGGGTTCTCTCTCTCTCTCCAGAAACAAATGAATAAGCTGGTTTTTTAGAATTTTAAAATTTAACTTTAAGAGAACCAGCAGTTAGCGTAATGGCTATGTCGCTGGACTCCCACGTAGTCGACCGCGGTTCGTGTCCCGGACCCGGTGGCTTAAAACTCATGCTGGGCGCGTGTGCGTGCGTGCCCAAGATCCTGAGAGGAGAATGGAGGAGAAGGGATTGCGGCGTGACCATCCCCCCTGGGGGGTGATTTCTCGCTTTCTGCCTCTATGTCTCTCTCTGTCTGTCTGGCGAGCGCACGCGCCCTACAGTGAAAATCTCTCCACAAAAAAAAAAAAAAATTTAACTTTAATTATTTAAATTTTACCAGAGAGGGATAGAATGTGTATGTGTGTGCGCGTGTGTGTGTGTACATGTGTTTGTGTGTGTGTGTGTGTGTGTGTGTGTGTGTGCATGAGAGAGAGAGGGCGGGGGAGAGAGAGAGAGAGAGAAAGAAGTGAGAAAGCAAGCTGCCAGTTCCGGGGCTTGAACCATTGTCGGTCATGTGGAAGTCTAGTGCCCTTAACCACCACACTGCCTACTGGCCCTGAAATGAATGAACTTTCAACAAAGACAAGGATTGGCAGAACTGATTAAAAACGGGATCTAACTATATCCTGTCTATAAGACATACACTTCAGAGACAATGACATAAGTAGGCTGCACATAAAAGCATAGAAAAAGACATTTAAAGCAAATATTAATTTTTAAAAATTGGAGTGGTCCTAATCAGATGAAGTAGAGACTAATTGCTAAAGACAAAGAGGAACATTACATAAAAAAAGAACTTAAAAGAAAACTGCAATTATTCTATATGTTCATGCACCAAATAGAGACTCAAGATACATAAAGCAAAAGCAACAAGATATAAAAGCAGAAATGGACAAGTCCACAATTATAGTATGAAACTTACTAAATGTCTATCAATGAGAGATTGGATAAGTTAAATTTACACTGTACTCATGCTTATATAGCAGTTTAAGTTGAAAGACTTGCAGCTACATATATTAACAACATGTACTTCAAAAACAATGTTGAGCAATACTCAGAGAGCTGCAAGATGACATAATTTACTTGAAGTTAGAGTCAAGTTCATGGATAATCATTTATGTAGTAGTAGTAGTAGTAGTATAAAATTCCTCATGAAGAAGAGGAAAATAAATTAAGAATAGTAGTGCTCTCTGGAGAAATGTAGGTAAAATAAAATCATGAAAGGATATGAAGGAGAATTTGACTTCATCTTAAAATCAATTTTAT